TAACTGAGTAATCATAACACAAATGCCCTCACACTCCCACACACAAGCTTATATGTGCATCTTTCAGTCTCATTCTCTGAAAATCCACAGTGGGAGTTGGATTTCTCAAAACCTGTCTTCCTGTATGTCAGCACTGTGATTATAGTCACCTTACCTTAGAGAAAAGACTTGGGAGAATCTGCCCAGCAGACATTAGTGGCTTAATAAATGAATTACCATCAGGAATCCAGAGAGGAAGTTCTAAAGGAAAATAGCTGGCTTGGTGGTTTAATCATTGGACTGGCAGTGACAAGTCAGGGCACCACATGACACTCTGAGCAATGCTCCCAGGGCTTGCAGGGGCCTGGAGTCAGTCTACATTTGTTTGGCATTCTTTTCTAGAAAATAAATTTTCCTCCTCACGAAATGTATCTGGGATATTGTTTTCTCAGGGCCAGACTAGAGAAGATACCAGTCAGGTGGAAGAAGATCATAATGTACTTATTTATAAATTTCTTTTATGCCATAGAAATGGTTATTGAAAACAGGTGAGATGCCGGTAAAGCTATGATTCAAAACAGAAGGAGAGTTGAAGAGTTTCCCAGACAGATAAAAACTGAAGGTGTTGGTGACCACTAAACCAGCCCTGCAAGAAATATCGAAGGGGCCCCTTTGAGAGGAAAGGAGAGACCAAAAGTGACAGTATGAAGGCAGGAAACACAAAAGCAGTAAAAATGAATATTTTTGTAAATAATCAGTCAACGAACTCACAAAGAAAGGATATAAAATACAGTAACATACCTAAAACGCGGGGAGGAGAGGAAAAAAGAATGGGTTGAAACTTAAATGACCATCCAACTAATACAGACATGCTATATGCCAAGGAGGTTATACACAAACCTAATGGTAACCACAAATCACAAATCACTAATAAACATGAAGAATACAGAGAAAGAAATCCAAATATATCGCTAAAGAATATCAGCAAAACATGAAAGTGACAAAGATAAGAAAGGATCAGAGAAAAGCTCCAGAAGCAACCACAAAACAAGTAATAAGATGGCACCAAGTACATATCTATCAATAATTACTTTGAATGTAAATGGACTAAATGCTCCAATCAAGAGACATAGGGTGTCAGAATGGATAAAAAAAATAAGAGTCTCTTGCCCACAAGAGACTCATTTTAGACCTAAAGACAGCTGCAGATCAAAAGAATCATCTCTCATGCAAAAGAAGGCCAGGATAGAGGTACTTCTATCAGACAAACTAGACTTTAAAACGAAGACTGTAACAAGAGATGAAGAAGAGCACTATATAATCATCAAGGGGACAATCCAACAAGGAGATCTAACAATTATAAATATTTATGCACCCAACTTGGGAGCACCCAAATACATAAAACAATTCAGAACAAACATAAACAAACTCTTTGATAATAATACAGTAATAGTAGGGGACTGTAACACCCCACTCACATCAATGCACAGACCATCTAAGCAGAAAATCAACAAGGAAACAAGGGCTTTGAGTGACACAGTGGACCAGATGGACTTCACAGATATATTCAGAACATTCCATCCTAAAGCAGCAGAATATACATTCTTTTCGAGTGCACATGGGACTTTCTACTGAATAGATCACATACTGGGTCACAAATCAGGCCTCAACAAATACAAAAAGACTGAGATCATACTGTGCATATTTTCAGACCACAAAACTATGAAACTTGACGTCAACCACAAGAAAAAAACTGGAAAGACCACAAATTCATGGAGATTAAAGAACATCCTACTAAACAATGAATGAGTCAACCAGGAAATCAAAAGAAGAAATTAAAAAATACATGGAAACAAATGAAAATGAATACACAATGGTTCAAAACCTTTGGGATACAGCAAAGGTGGTTCTAAGAGGGAAGTATGTAGCAATACAAGCCTACCCTCTGAAGCAAGAAAAATCCAGGTACACAACCTAACCTTACACCTAAAGGAGCTGAAGGAAGAACAAGAAGTCTAAAGCCAGCAGACAGAGGGAAATAATAAAGATTAGAGCAGAAATAAATGATAGAGAAACTAAAAAGCAATATAACAGATCAATGAAACCAGGAGCTGGTTCTTTGAAAAAATTAATAAAATTAATCTCTGGACAGACTTACCAAAAAGAAAAGAGAAAGGACACAAATAAATAGAATTACAAATGAGAGAGAAGAGGTCACAACCAACACCACAGAAGTACAAACAATTTTAAGAGAATATTATGAAAAACAACATGCCAACAAATTGGACAACCTGGAAGAAATGGATAAATTCCTAGAAACATATAAATGACCAAAACTGAAACAGGAAGAAATAGGAAACTTGAACAGATTGATAACCAGCAAAGAAATGGAATCAGTAATCAAATATCCCCCAACAAACAAAAGTCCAGGCCGGATGGCTTCCCAGGGGGATTCTACCAAGCATTTAAAGAAGAATTAACATCTATTCTTCTCAAATTGTTCTAAAAAATAGAAAAGGAAGGAAAACTTCCAAATTCATTCCATGAGGCCAGCATTACCAATACCAAACCAGATAAAGACCCCACTAAAAAAGAGAACTACAGGTCAATATCCCTGATAAAGATGGATGTAAAAATTCTCAATAAAATACTAGCAAATCGAATCCAACAGTACATTAAAAAAATTATTCACCACAATCAACACGATCGAGTGGCATTTATTTCTGGGCTGCAAGGGTGGTTCAGTATTCTCAAATCAATCAGTGTGATAAACTATATTAATAAAAGAAAGGATAAGAACTATATGATCCTCTCGATAGATGCAGAAGAAGCATTTGACAACGTACAACATCCATTCATGAGAGAAACCCCCAACAAAGTAGGGATAGAGGGAACATACCTCAATATCATAAAGCCCACATATGAAGAACCCACAGCTAATACCATCCTCAATGGGGAAAAACTGAGAGCTTTTTCTCTATGGTCAGGAAGAAGACAGGGATGTCCACTCTCACAGCTGTTATTTTTTTTTATTACAGATTTTATTCATTTATTTTAGGGGTGAGGGGCAGATGGAGAGGGAGAGCAATAGGGAGTGAGGAGCCCGACGTGGGGCTCAGTCTCATGACTCTGTGATCATGACCTGAGCCCAAATCAAGACTTTTGACTGCTTAACTGACTAAGCCACCCAGGTGTCCCTCACCACTGTTGTTTAACATAGTCCTGGAAGTTATAGCCTTAGCAATTAGACAACAAAAAGAAATAAAATTCATCTAGATTGCAAGGAAGAAGTCAAACTTCCACTATTTGCAGACAACATGATACTGTATGTAGAAAACACCAAAAACCTGCTAGAACAGATAAATGAATTCAGTAAAGTCACAGGATACAAAATCAGTGTACGGAAATCTGTTGCATTTCTATATACTAATAATGAAGCAGCAGAAAGAGAAATTAAGGAATCCATCCCATTTTCAATAGCACCAAAAACAATAAGATATCTAGGAATCTACCTAACCAAGTAGTTTAAAGACCTGTACTCTGAAAACTATAAAACATTGATGAAAGAAATTGAAAACACAAAGAAATGGAAAGACATTCCATGCTCATGGATTAGAAGAAAAAATATTGTTAAAATGTCTATGCTACCCAAAGCAATCTACATAAATGCAATCCTTAAACCTAAAGTGTGTGTGGAAGCACAAAAGACACCAAATAGCAACCTGGAAGAAATGGAAGAGGGTTCCCTTTCCTCCGCATCCTCACCAACACCTGTTGTTTCCTGTGTTGTTAATTTTAGCCATTCTGACTGGTGTGAAGCAGTATCTCATCGTGGTTTTGATCTGCATTTCCCTGATGATGAGTGTTGTTGAGCATCTTTTCATGTGTCTATTGAGCATCTGGATGTCTTTCCTGGAAAAATGTCTATTGTCTTTGGCCCATTTTTTCATTATTCATTTCTGGGGTATTGAGTTTAATAAGTTCTTTATATATTTTGGATACTAACCCTTTATCAGTATTTGCAAATATCTTCTCCCATTCCATAGGTTACCTTTTAGTTTTGTTGATTATTTCCTTCTCCGTGCAGAAACTTTTAACTTTGATGAAGTCCCAATAGTTTATTTTTGCTTTAATTTCCCTTGTCTCAGAAGATATGTCTAGTAAGAACTTGCTACCTCTGATGTCAAAGAGGTTACTGCCTACGTTCTCCACTAGGATTTTGATGGATTCCTGTCTCACATTTAGGTCTTTCATCCATTGTGAATTTATTTTTGTGTGTGGTGTAAGGAAATGGTCCAGTTTCATTCTTCTGCATGTTGCTGTCCAATTTTCCCAACACCATTTGTTGAAGAAACTGTTTTTTCCATTGGATATTCTTTCCTGCTTTGTCAAAGATTAATTGATACATAGTTGTGGGTTCATTTCTGGGCTCTCTGTTCTGTTCTATTGATCTTTGTCTATTTTTGTGCCAGTACCATACTGTCTTGATGACTACATGAGTCAGTTAAGGATAGAAACCCAGGGGGTGGAATGAGGTGTGACCCTGTGCACAGCGACTGGATGACAGATGTCACCTTACTCAGGTCTGCAGGACAATTGTGTATGATCCACTTTGGGTAAGAAGAGTCTTCACATTCTGGGTCGGATAAAAAGACTTAGCAATAAGGGCTTTTCCTTTCAGCAGAACTTTCCTTCAAAGAGCCCCACAGTCATGACCACATCCATTTTGCACAAAATCACAGAATATTCTGGGATGCATTGGTACCCACATAACAAGGAGTCAGTTTTACCCCGAGGCATTCCCTGTGGCTAGCAATGTATTTGGGGATGCTGTGTCTGCTCTTTTAGGCCACTGGAGGTCCAGTTAATAAATGCATGAAGGATTAGAATGTTTCATGTGCTAGAGAACAAACAATGGGATTCATGAATGAATGCTTCGGTTATTTGGGTGGTTTCATATCTTAGAGACCGTGTCAACCATGAGTAAATGGCATCCCAGGGGCCAAGAGGAGTCAATGGGCCTATCGCAAACTTGCTTTGCATTCTTTTCTGCAAAAGGATTTTTTCTTCCCATTGAATACATCTGGACAATCAAGAGGAGAAAAGCCATACCTGTAGTATTCATCTCCCACAAAGAAAAGGGTCTTCTGCACATCCTTGAGATACACAGCAGCATCTATTCGCTGCACATATCTTGGGAAGCCAAAGTCATAAATAGTTCGAGGAGGACCTTGCATTTGGAATCCTCTTGTTATCCAGTAGTGGGGGCCTGAAAACAGAAATTAAAGTTCACAAAAACTCTGTACCACTCGGCGATGTACTTCACTCATGAGGATTTCTATGCAGGACCCCAAATGGAAGTAGTTTATGGGATAGTTGCCATGGCTACAACCCAGTGAATAGGCTTTTATTCAATTGAAACTACTCTGGAGGCAAACATCTCTAGTGATGCCTTAGCAAAGTAATAATTTTGATACAATTGGGTCTTAAATTTCCCACATTAATTTTTTTCAAGATACTTTTCATGTGTGTAGCCTCCTTTCAGTCTGATATATATGCATGGGAGAGAAGGGGCATGTGATAGGCAAATGCTGTGATTTGTAAGCGGGCATTGGCCTTGTACCTTCATCCCCCAGCATCAGGAAAAATAAGCTGAAATTGACAGGTACCACCTATCGGATAACGCCCATTGGCTAGCCACCATCGCATCTCTGAGGTTGATATTACTATAATCACTTATAAGCCCAGGAAGACATGAAGGCTCAGAGCAGTTAGATAATTCCCCAAAGTCACTCTGATAGTAAAGGGCTGGAGCCAGAGACTGACACCATGCCCACCTCCCAGAGTCACAGGTGTTCTCCTCACATGGGGTGCCGTGTTGGCTTTTGTTGACTAGAGGCTCTCAGTGGGGCATGCCATGCCACCTTGAGGGGCAGGGACCAGGTTTGTAGCCCCCCTGGGCACCGTCACTTAGCATGGTGCCTCTCCAGGGCAGAGCGTTGGCTCTGAGAACATTGTCAGAGTCATTGTCCTTCCTGCCATTGTTATAGTTCAACAGAGCGGCATTTCATGGCTGACCTGAGGAGGAGTGACCCAAGCACGCTCCACGATCCCTGACCGAATGCTCCCAGTACTAGCTGTTCCCAACACGCTGGACACCCCACCGTCCCTGTACCTCACGGATCTGTAGGGTACCTTTGAAGAAGTAAGCGGTGCCCCTGTCGGACACTTCGTAAGCTGCGTCCACGTTGGACATAAGCTGGGGGAAGGAGCTGGTAATGGTGCTGGGCCGGATCCCCGCCATCATGTGAACCTGCCGACGCCAGAAAATCCTGTTGGGCAATCCACAAGAGCAGGGGTTGATTTAGATCTTGAGCGGGGCGTGGACCGATGTGTTCTGCAAGCCACACTGCAGGGATCATTCTCAGTGCCTCGTGCCCTTGCCTTGTTTTTAAGGAGAGCATGAGTTTTTCACCTTAGTAAATAGTTCTTTTCCCTTTTTGTTCTTTGAGCCTCCCTGCAATCCGCTTTCCTTCATTTACTTAAGGACATTCAAAACATGGAGGGATACGGCAAGGAGATGACCCCGGTGTTTCACACATTTAAGCTCTGCACCTTCCAATTCCAGGTATCTCTTGATACAGATGTCCTTTTCCTATTCTGATCTTTTAAAAACTAAAAACTCACAAAGATAAAATACCATCCTGGTGGACATTATGAATATTACAATTGAACCAAATCTTTGTGGTTGGGAGGTGCGAATTATTCCCAATAAAGCCAGCAAGAACATTCACAATTATCAGTTATATTGAAAGTTATCTATTGAATACTTATCTATGGAAAGGGCTTATATCCTCGAAATGGATGGCTAGTTAACAGAAAATCTGGTACACACCAATTAACTCAAGTTTTAGCGACTCATCCATCCACTCTTCCAAAATTATTTCCATAAAACTGTGGCAGTATTACAAAGGTAATGGGCTGAAACGTTCAGTGTACATGGGGTCCGTTTTGAATTTTGGAGGGGAAAATCATTTTTATAAAATATGAGAAGTTTACGTGACTCTGTAGAAAGTAGACTCTATACATAAAATTATTTGTGGACACGGAAACTATAATAAATTTTGACATTTAATTTTCTAGGTAGTTAGTGTAGGAACTCCTCCATCTTACATTGAGTTTTCCTATTCAGTTAATTTAACAAATATTTATGGAGCACCTATCAGCAGGGGACTGTGGTAGACATCAAAGATGAGATGCTGAACGAGACCCTGGTCCTGCCTCGGGGAGCTTACAGCCCAGGAGTGTAGACAGGTACGTGATTCGGCAGTTAGGATTCAGACAGGTACGTGATTCCGGAGTTAGGATCATAATCAGACAGTTAGGACCAGTGCCACACACTTTCAGGTTTAGGATGCGGACACAGAGCATATCCCACAGGAGGGAGATTCCACTGCATTCGGGGATTTGGTGAAGGTGTCCCAGGTGGGGCCGTGTAAGCTGATGATGAATTTGAAAGGGCCTTATGGAGAGAGACATGTCTTTGTTCCCTACACGGCATCATGATGCAGAAGGAAAAGCACATCGTGCTTTAGGAGATGTAGACTTGAGTTCTAACTCTGACCGGCATCTCCAAGCTCAGTCTTATCATCTCTTAGATGCAAATAATAATACCTGGCCTGTCTCGTGAGGTTGTTCTGAGGATCCAGGGAGAGAATGCATAGGAAAGTGATTATAAACCATAAAGTGCCATAGAGCTAGATATTGTCCGTTCTAAACATTATAATTTGCCTAGGCTTACCCACCCGCTGACTGGGCACCCACCATACACCATACACACGGTGGCAGGCATCCGTGGCAGGTGCAGTGGCTCGCCCCACGCCCTACTCATCACAGCCTGCTCTAGAACATCTGTGCTAACAGACGAAACACCGAGGCTCAGGAAGGCTCGTGGGCCCAAAGGTCGTCTGTTGGTTAGGGGCAGACAGAGCCGGCTTGGACTGCAGCTGTCTCGATATTCATCTGCACCTGATCTCATCTCCTTGTTCATTCCCAGCCTTGCCCCAGCCTTGCCATCTCTGCTTTTCTGTGTTCATAATTTGCCACCCCCCCCCCCACCGCCGTCCTCAGATCTAGGCTTTTTGAAGGCACGAGGGACCGCCTTCCCCTTCTCCTTCCTCTCTGCCACCACAGCGTGAGCACGGGTTTGGGGAACCCCACAGATTTGGGTAACGAAAATGGATAAACGCATCACGTCCATAGCCTGTCATCTGATTTTTGATAACAATGCATTAATTGGGAACCTGATGAGAAATCTACAAAGCGAGTGTTTTTCACTTAATTCAGCACATGGTTCTGAAATGCTGACTCTTCACATCACTGTGCTGGATGCTGACCCAGGCACCGAGGTGCGTTTCTGGGGACTGCGGTGGTGGGGGTGAGGAGGTGAGGAAGCCGGGCAGGGGAGGCTCTGTCTGAATCACGTCTCTGATGAGGTACGGCAGACTTCCAGGCACTTTATCCTTGGGCACCTAACGCAGGGAAATATTGGCTTTCATTTTTCACTTAAAAATTGACAGGTGGCTCTAGGCAAACGTAAGCCCTATCTTTCATCAGAAGTTAGGGCATGGATGTCCCGAGTGACTCAGTAGGAGAGGTGGTAAAATGTAGTGATGAAGAGCACCCGCAAACCGAAAGTGTGCTTTTGGAACTTTTCACACGTGGTAGAATCTAAAATTCCTTTCTAAATCAACCCTGATTTAAGGCATTGCAGGCATTGTGAAGACTAAGGGGAAGTTGAGCGGTCATTCTAAACCCAGAGTGATTTTGTGCCCCGGAGACATTTGGCCATGTTTGCGGACAGTTGTTCTATCGGCCTCCAGAGGGAGAGGTCAACCAGGGAAGCTGCTCAGCATGCCTCCATGCCCGGGACAACCCAACCCAACAAAGGCTGGTCTGCCTCGAAGTATCAGTAGTGCCAAAGTCAGGGGACCCTGGCTTAAACAGTGTTACGACGTATTAAGATGTATAAACTGTGTGCGTAAGGTAGAAATAAATACTATCCATCACTTATGGAACGTTGTGCAAGTTCCAGAAGAAATTGTAATCGGGAAAATTTTCAGTACTAATGGTTGGGAATGAAGCACCAGAACACGTACCCAGAGGATTTACAAGCTTGCAGCTATAGATTACAAATAGGAGTTGAAATGGACCCCAAAACCCCAAGTATAGCAAGTAACCTCCTAATACATCTGGAAATGGATTTAAAGTATAAGCAAAAAGAAAACCAGTCTGTGAACCTATTGGAAAAGAGCAGCTCCAGGGTGTGTGGGAAGCAGTCACGGAAATAAGTGAACACTTTATCGGGAGTCTGTCATCTGACCTTTGATGAGGAGGGCGAAACAATGGCACCTATTGATAGTAGGGGATCTGCTGATTATGTATTTAGCTGGACTGTTTATCTCGTGCTCCCAGGAGCCAACGCTGTGCCTGGCACACAGTCAGGGCTCAGTAAATACTTGTTGATTCAATGAACGGGTGCCAGGGAGTGAGAGGAACTCATGAGATCACCGATTTTCATATTCCCTGAAATTTTCATTCCCTTTTCTCAAAGAACAGCCGCTAATTCAAGTTTGAGACTAGCTCGCTGGTAGCCTTCACCTGAGGCAGGGTCATGATTATCCGTCTTTCTGTCCTCCGGCTTTCCGGGCGCCCGGCACACCTGGGGACGTGACCCACAGTTGCCGAACTTCCATTCTTCCCGTGTTGTGCCCAACTATCTTCACCCCCGACCTGTGGAAGGAGCCCATCACCTCCTCGTTGCTGGACCGTCAGGGGGATTCAGCAGGAGCCGAGCGGGGACTTCACGGTTCATCATCTTCAACACTTTACTCTCCTTGACTCTGTTCTCGTTCATCCCGTGCCCTTGTTTCAGGGGGAGGAGGGATCTCTCTTCTTTCTGTTTTTGAGGTTTGCAGTGGAATTGCTGCTTATCTCCCACTGGAAGCTTGAAACCTGGTTTTATCATTGGATGTGGGACCTTGTGTGAGTCATTCAATTTTTGAGACTCCGTTTCCTTCTGTCCAATAAAAGTGAGAATACTAATAACATGTGCTAACACTTCGAAGCATGAATTGAGACAATGCATCTGAAAGTGTCTTATAAGCTCTTGACTACTCTTAACTAATTTGTAGATACTGTAGAAAGGCATGTTTTCACTCTACAAATGTGTTGATTGGTGATAGGTAAAACCTGGAGTTTATCAACAGAACTGTTTCTTTCTGAGTTTGCCTCACTGATATAAAATTTTTGTCACTGGAAACTCTGAAATACAAACATCACATCCTTGACTGACACGCACTTGTTTTGGGGGTTTCACTAATCGCCTTATGTCAGAAGATGTTAGAGCCCAAGAAATCAAACATGTATCGTTCATCTCATTGAGCCCCAGAAAAACACAGCTTATAGAATTAAAAACCCAAATGTAGGCAGTGCTTAAAAATAGTCAGAGCTGTGCGTAGCATGCCTAAATTGTTTATCCCACTGGAGGAGACTGTGGGCGCCCCTGTGAATAGGCCATAACCTGTAAAGGGCCCCATCCCGAGCCAGGAGGAGGGAGCTCAGAGGAGGTGACAATGAATCATGGGTCGTAATACACCCTCTGCCTCTTTGTCTGAATTCTTAACATATAACCCAGACTCAGTCTAAGCAAATACAGTGCCACTTGTTGACTTTCCATGACGCAATCTTAAAACCAGAAGGGACACGTCCCCGGGAGACAGAAGGAGGACGATGTCCCCCTCCGTTGTGCGGGCTTTGCTCAAACCCGTGGACCCTGCAAAATGCCAGCTTCCAAAGGTCCTGTCCAGGAGTAGGAGTGACTGATGTGCTGTCCCTCCTTCCCCTGGCCCCTTGCATTTCCGTTTCTCCACCGGCTCCTAGTCCTGTCTCCCAACATGTCCAGGTAGTTTCCAGTTTGGGAAACTCCTGCTCGGACCCTGCTGCCCGTTCCAGCTATGATCAAAACGGACCTCTCTTTGTTACTAACACAACTCTCAGGTGAATGTCTGTATCACCATTTCCATGTGCTCCCTGCCTTCCGCTCTTTCGCTGCTTCACTCCTCAGGCCCTGGACTCCCTCCTCACAGCTCCTCTGAAATGACACATGGGAATCATCCTGGCCAGTCTGTCCCTTTTCTTCTGTCCTCAGTCTGATGGCCCCGGCATCCTTTTCCACTATTGATCACTTTGAAGATTTATTTATTTATTTGAGAGAGAGACACAGAGAGAGAGCGCACATGAGCAGGGGGTGGGACAGAGGGAGAGGGAGAACCTCAAGCAGCCTCCCTCCAGACACGGAGCCTGGAGCCTGACACGGGGCTCAATCCCACGACCCTGAGATCACCACCTGAGCTGAAATCAAGAGTCAGATGCTCAACCAACTGAGCCACCCCGGAGCCCTCCAGTATTGATCACTTTGGAAAAGAAATCCTCTTTTCCTTGATTTATGTGGGGCTCCATTAAGGGATTCTGTCTCCCATGTCAAGTGGGTTAAAATTCCAGCTGGGGAAAATACCACTGGATTAAAGGAGTGTTGGGAAAATGCTCAGCACAATGCACAGCACATTGTAAGTGACCGTGAAATGCCAGTTATTATTATTAGAGTCCATTTTCAGATCTTTCCCTGCCTCCTCCACATGGGAGGTTCTATAACCTGTGAAGCCTCCAGCTGTGAGCGCCCCCCTGAGCACCGGCCTGCTTCTGTAGAACCTGCTAGAATCGTCTTCGCCTTGAATGCAGCACATCTAACACTGAGATTTTCTGTATGTGTCCAGTAAACCTCCTTGGCTTTCCTGTCTGCTCTTTGACTCTTCCTTTGCACTGTTTCCTGCACTAAATGAGCCTCTAAGTCCTGCTGGGGACTCGCTCAGGACCATTTCATCCTCATCTTCCTTTGCTAGCTGCCAAGCCTTAAAAATGCTTTCCTTTGCCTGCTGATCGAAGATACATAACATCTTGCAAAATGTGACCATTAGCAACTGACAGATATTTTGAGGGGAAAACAGAATGTGGACCAGCCTATCCAACATGTTTGAGACACCCAGATGGTCTAAGAACTTTCTTCTCCTTGTGGCTGTTTACCTGACCGGCAGGTGAGGCCCAAGCACAGGACCCGCCGTCCGGTGCTTTCCCCACAAACTCAAATGCATACCCGTCAGAAGGCCTGAGTTCATTCAAGTCGAAAGGCACTACTCGCCCCGGACGTCCCAGCGCAGGGCGAGCTGATCTGTATGAGTGACAGGATCGGCTCTGGACCGGGACCCGGAAGACCAGGCTGGCGGGAGCACCTTAGGCTGAGACACAGACGGGCGCACCTTTCTTCTCTCCAACACGAAGGATTTGGACACAGGCTTTACGCTTATTCCATGTGCAAAATGCTATTACACCTCTGAGGTCTATTGCTGATTGAATTTTACCCATAAAATCAAGCGTATCACAATCAGGTAAAACCCGCGATCATCTGAGAGGGGCAACTTGCTTCTCGTCTTCCCAACGGCCTGGGGAATGGGAGACGACCGTACTACCTGCCTATCTACTGGAAAGAACGAATGTACGTGCATCCAACATACAGATACAGGCCCATGTAAGTGGTAGGTATTTGCAACTTTCAACTTACTGTAGTTGACGCCCATTTGTCTTCAAGCACAACGCTGGAAGCTGGAATGCACCCATGGACCTTTACGTGCGGTGGACAGCGGGCCGCGGTCTCACGGTGACTGGGAAAAGTGCTGCACCCCATCCTGCTCTGGAAACACCCTATGTGCAGGTGACGCCCACGCATGGGAATGTCTCCTCAACAGGCTATTGTCGGTGACGGGGAACTCCAGGCCAGACCCCGAGCTTTCCCAGCCATCTGCGGATTGCATTGTCACTGTGGCTTGAAAGAATTCTTTGTTCTTTGTCCAGGCTTTGCCAGCACTTGGGGACTTTCTGGTGTAGGCCGGTTGGGGATCAGAGCTACGGAGCATGGGATCCTGGCTCCGGATGGCACCTCGGGAGGCAGGAGAGCCGGGGTGCGGGGGGCTCGGGCTCTGGCGGGTCCTAGTGTGGACGTGGGTCCCAGCCCCAGCCCTCCCTAGCTCCGTGTCCTTGTGAAAAGGGACCAGAAATCCCTGCCTCATGGGGCCCTCGTGAGGGTGTGATAACCGAGTGCTCATCGCAGTAAGTCCTGCTCCCAGGGAAGCCCTGTGACATCAGAGCGCCTCAGTCCAAAGAGGATGGAGAGGGACCCATGGGCCCGTGGGGAGTGGGCGGCAGACCTGGGGCTAAAAGGGGATCTCTCCTTACTCCCTGCCTCTGTGGGGGCCAGCAGCCTGAGCTGGGCGACAGGCTGAACACACTCATGTCGCCGCGTCCCTCCCTCCCGACCTCTCCTTTCTCTGCGTCTCCTGCCCCTGTGGATCCCTTCCTGTTCCCACCCTCAGGATGTTCAGCCACGACTCGGCCAAGTGGCCGCTAGCCATTGCTCATAGTTTGATAACAGAGGGGTTTTAAACATTTTTTGCTTTTTTAAAGAAATCAGTTATAATTGTACATAAGGGCCTAATATCTTTGACTTCACGGTCTCCTTTGCACCTCTTACAGCCGCCGATATTGGGCACAAGAGTAATCTCCGTGCTACACGGCGGCCAGCATCTCATTTCTTGGTCGCGGAAGGAGCACTCCCTGTGCTAGTCTGGGCCATGTGACAGGTGACACCACCAGCCCCTGCGTGAAGCTCCTGGGCTCCAGGGTCCACCTGCTCTGCGCCTTGCCTATCACTCCTGGTCAATGCCTACCAATTCTGTTTTGCTTTACTTTTTGCTAATAAGAGAAAGGAAGTCAATAATCAATAAGTCTCCATAAAGATCACTAAAAACAAATAATGATAAAAAAATACTTCAAGTTGTTTCTAAACCTTAATCCACTGTACAGATTGTCCGATTCTCATTCCTAAATATAGCGCCTGCCGTTTATTGAGCGCTCACTGTGTTTGACACATTATTTGCTCGGGGTCACCTGCTCAGTAAGAAGCACGGCCAGAATTTAAGCCAACTGAGCCTGATGCTAAATCCCGGGTTCTGGGCTCTGCTCTAAAACGTTTCAGAAAAGTGGATGTCCATCCACTGCTGAAGGTTGAGTTCAAGCTGTTCCTAATTTTTAAAAATTAGAAACAGTTTTGATGCTTAAAAGTATGGGATTGGTTGAACACGTGATGATGTATCTACTCATTGAATAATATATGCATCTATATAATACACATAAAACTCATTGACATGGAAATATGAGATATTGCTGAGCCAAAAGAGTTTATAAATCAGGACATCTCATAAAATCCCATTTTTGCGGACATCCCTGATCCCCTCTCGTACTTAGACTGTATCTCTCTATACAGAAAAATAATCTGGAAGGAAATAGATGTTGAAAAATGTGATTACTCTGTTATGGGCTGAAGGTCTGTGTCCCCGCCCAGTTCATATATTGAAGCCCTTCCCCCCAGAGTGATGGGATGGTGATATTCAGATGGGACCAGTATGTGTGTGGGGGTAACCAGGGTTAGATGAGACCCTGGTAGTGGAGCCCTGGTCTGATGTGATTAGTGCCCTTATAAGAAGGGACTCCAGAGAGCTTTCTCTCTCTCTCCCCATGTACACAGAGAGGTCGTGTGAGCACACAGGTTGATGGCAAGGTGTTTGAACGTCTCACTCCCTTATGTAACTGAGGTGTGCAAAGGCAAGGTGAGTGTTGATCCTTCTTTATATCTCCAGCCACTACAGTGGGACTTGGCCCCCCCCATATGGGCCCAGTGACCACTCTTCCAATGAAGAAAAAGGAATAAAAAGTATTCAGACATACTATTCCTGAGCTACTGCTGCCTATTCTGGTGTGAACGAGCTCTGTCCCTGGTAAAGAGAGGAACAGGGATGAGTGTTGGAATGTCTTTTCCTCCAAGAAAAGAAGTGACCCCAGCAATCAGTCATGGACACAGCCCCCATGCTCCCTGCGAGCCAGAGTACCAGGAGAGAAGAGGCTATCTAAAGTAAATGCATGAGATTTCCAACAAGTCCGCATACTTGACCTTAATCACGACCTCATTCCACTAATTGTACTTTGTCTAGCTGCAACTGGTAAATCTGCCCAATTTGGCTTTCACCCGAGACCTCCCTTTGTCACTGAAGACCCAGGGCCGGTCTCAGCTTTACTTCATTTGAGTACAATAGTTGTAGCAGGTGTCTTTTTATTAATTCCTTCCTACCCAATGACAGGAAATAATGTAACTAGTCAAACATTAACACTCTGTCTAGCTGCTCTACCACGCTGTGTACGGCAATTTGCTCTCACCCAAAATGACATTGGAAAGATTGTCTCCCTCTCACCCAAAATGACATTGGAAAGATTGTCGCCTTCTTTACTTGAAGCTGGTTAGGCCTAGTAATGGTTACTACTGATATTAACCACCATACCCAGCATTCCTTCACTTCTGCACACAGACATGTTTTGAATCCATATTATTTATATGCTGTGGATCTGTTACTGATCACTTAAACGATGAACAAGATATCCAAAAAACAGGGGGCTTAAAGCTTGACCCTTTCCTACAACCTCATTATTGGAAGAGGACTAGCATTACAGGTAGGACTTTCCTTACAGACTTTTGCTCCACAGGCTAAATTATCAAAACTGCTAACACATCTGTGATATTGTGATTTATAATAGGAAATATATATTTGGTCCTCCTCCTGGTTTCTGGCACAGAGCCTGCTAAATCCTTTGGAATTTCCGGTGATGAGAGGGACAAAGGTGTCCTTTGTTATGTTAACAAGGTGACTTTTGGAAAGCACCTGCTGTGGGGGGGGGTGCTGGTTACCTGAGGGCCCAACCAGGTAATTAGAGAGTTGGAACTTTCAGTCTCAACACCTACCTCACCCCCTTCAGGGAAGGGCCAGGGGATGGAGGTTGGATCAGTCGCCAATGGCCAATGATTTAATCCGTCATGCCTCTGTGATGAAGCCTCCATAAAAACCCCAAAGAAGGGGGTTTTGGGGATTTTTTGGGTTGGTGAACACATGCAGATGTGCAGATGTGGGGGATTTGCACCTGGGGTGGGTATGGAAGCTTCGCTCCCTTTCCCCATCCACTGTTCCGGGCATCTCTGTATATGGTGGTTCCTGAGTTACATCCTTTCCTAATAAACTGTTAATCTAGTGAGTAAACTGGTTTCCTGAGTTCTGTAAGCTGCTCTAGTAAACCAGTCAAACCTAAGGAGGAGTTCATGGGAACATGATTTACAGCCAGTCAGTCAGAATTGGCCTCTAAAGTGGAGGGCAGTCTTGGAGGATGGAGCCCTTAACCTATGGGGTCGGCTGACGTTATGTGCCGGTGGGTGGACGGCGTCAGAATTGAGTGGAGTCGTAGGGCATGCAGCTGGAGTCTGAGAATTGCTTGGTGGTGGGAGAACCCCCCACATCAGAACCAGTGAGCAGAACTGTCCTGTCCGGTGTGAGCGCTCAGCCCTGCGAAGTTTGCTGCTTCCCAGCGGCTGTCTAATCCCACAGTTACTTTCTTCCCCCTGCTCAGACAACCTTGCTGGTTGATGCGAATTCCAATCGGTGAAAATAACGCTCCCCTGATCCACACTAGGAAGTGCCTTAAGGAAGAATTTTTCTGGATTTTTATTTCTCACAACATGACCCCAACAACTGTTCCTCACGTAAGGATGCCTGCTACCTAGGGTCTAACGGGCTCCACTCTCATTCCAGCACTTGACCGTAACCTTAGAGCACAAAACATAAAATATAATTCTCCTTCACCCTTCTATGCATATTCCAAACTCCTTGGGTTTTTCCCAGTGATTACTCACCACCTCTCACCATTCATCAATCTTTCAGCCAACAAAAAACTAACATTATTTTTAGTAGACATACTTCAACTAGAAGACATTATCACCAAAAACCATTTCCTGTCTTCTGAAAACTTCCACATTAATTTCAAACCTGAAAGGCTTAATCAAATTTCCTCTCTTTCCTTATTACACTAATCTTAAATTTACTTCTATTTAATTTCCCTGAGTGATGGTCACGACAATAAAAATACTAACAAAGATCAGTTCTCCCACGGATCAACTCACACAGCTATTACTACAGCCCGTCCCTGAAGATCCCAGCTTCTCCAGCAGCATGAATTACTCAATCTCCTATGCCATTCAATTTATTTTTAAACTTATTTTATTTAATTTTAAGTTTTTTTTAGAGAGAGTGAGAGAGCATGAGTGGGGGAAGGGGCAGAGGGAGAGGGAGAGAATCTCAAGCAGACTTCCCACGACCCTGAGATCACTACCTGAGCCGAAACCAAGAGTCAGAGGCTTAACCAACTGCCCACCCAGGCGCCCCTCCTATGCCATTAAATTTAAACACCAGCTCCACCTCACCATCCTTTACAACTCACAGAACTATGAAAACTTCTATTAATCAGTCCAAAAGAAACATTCCTAAAACAACAGTATTAGATACTCAAACCTCAGGGTATCCTTCAGGAGCTCTAGCTATAGAAGAGCCAATACCCATCAATATTCCTCCCTTCCCTAGGCTGTCTGATGGCTTGCTGACAGTTGAAAAGTCAAGGGGCCTTGAGAAAGAGGGGTTTCAGCAGAGTGATGACTTTGGAATTAGCTATCCATCCACCCATCCCTCTGATCATCCATCCATCCATCCATCTGTCCATCCATCCATCCCTCT